GGGTTTTTCTCATCATCAACGTCCAGGTTCAAAGACTCCCTTCAGACTACATTTCCCAGCAGCCTCCAGGACAGTGAGACGGCGAAGGAGCACTTCCTGAAGCTGCTGGTTCAGCAGATCCAGGACTCTGAAGTGTTCGAGGGTCCTGAGGGATCCAAAAACCTGGCGCTGGACTCCAAGGGTATGGGATATATAAATATACATGTTCATATAAAACCCTAAGTCACATGTGTCAAACTCAAGGCCCGGGGGCCAAATCAGGCCCTTGGTGGATTTAATTTCGGCCCACAGGATAATTTCTAATTCCTATTCGATCTGGCCCTCCGGTATATTGCTCTCACACCTTCACTCCATCCTGAGGGTCTCCTCAGCTCAGAGCCTGAGCCCAAACATTGATGACCTTGCACCCAAGATGAGATGCCAAGTATCTGAACTAGCATCACAGAGCAGCACACTGAGTTTAATGGATGTTTCCTTCTGCACTTTCTCTCTCAGGACAACAGGGCATGTTTGGTTTCTCTTTGAGGGAAATAGTTTTGTTGAAGCTGTTGTTGGCCTGTGGGAAAATGTACTCATAAGAAATGACTCTGGAGAAGCTGCAGATAGAGCCATAAGAAATGAATGAACTGATTATTTAATGTTTAATGTTGTTTTTATAGGCAATCATTGAAGCTTTGTTAGTTCCAGGTTTAATATGTGCAATAAGTTCATTTCAATAAGTTCTGCAATAAACATTGAACCAGTCCGGCCCTCCACTAGTACATATTTTAATTTTGGCCCACTGTGTATTAATTGCAAGCTGACAAAGACAGTATGCAAATGGGATGCTGTGAAGAGAGTCCTTTGGGTGCACTATTTTGTTGAAGGTGCTTATTCTGAGTACCTGGAATTGAATCAGCATCCGTATTGGAAGTACACATCGCACATCTGCTCATTTATCCAAAAACAGGATTAGACATGACCTTTAGTTGATGTCGAGAACTTTTAATTCCCTACTCTCTATCCGAGGAGCACATTCGTTTTAATATACACTCAGTTGCGGATAATCAAGTCCATCTTGTTACAAGTCGTGCAATAAATCCTTTGCTCACAGACGTTTATAATGTTCTCTTTTTAAAACTGTTATAGAGCGGTTCTGTGGAAATATCAATATGTTGTCATTTCGCTGCCTGTCCCCTTCCCACCCAGTGTCTTTACAATGGATCCCTGAACATCTTGGACAAAAAGCAATCAAGGAGCCATTATGGTTCGTTTTAAGTAAACACAAGATTTCCTTTTTTGGAATATTGATTTCCGATATGTTGAGCCGTGTTTAAATGGTTAAAGGGATTTACTCCTCAATCCTTCTGCAAATACAGCCAGAGATTACAGAGTTAGATGCAAAGGGAAATGTAACGTTTGATTCTACAAAAACATCTTCTGCTTTTTCTTTGAAAGACCAGAGACTTTAATGTATGCTTTTGTTATCTGGTCGTATACTTCCTGCTTCTAGCACTCTTTAACCCTAACCCTACTGCCAGGTATTTTCTTAAGTGATCCATATAGTTCTACCTTTACCTATATACCTTTTATAATACAAGACAACTAACATTGTCAGATAAATGTAGAGGGGGAAAAAATACAATATTGTTTCTATGGTATGTAGTGGAGTAGAAATATAAAGTCAGTCTGTGGCTATAAGTATGGTTTTATTGTCTCGTGCTTTTAGATTAGTTTCTTCTTGTCCTATCGGTTTTGTCTAAATGTATTTATGCTGCTTTTTTATATATTTATTGATGTACAGCCCTTTGGTCAACTCTGTTGTTTTTAAATGTGCTATATAAATAAAGTTGGATTGGATATAGTAGCAGCAAATGGAAATACTCAATTAAGTACAAATACCCCAAAATTGTACTCAGTTACTTTCCACCACTGATTACCTCTACTGCATTTTGTGATTTGTCTTCTAATGTGTGTGTGTGTGTGTGTGTGTGTGTGTGTGTGTGTGTGTGTGTGTGTGTGTGTGTGTGTGTGTGTGTGTGTGTGTGTGTGTGTGTGTGTGTGTGTGTGTGTGTGTGTGTGTGTGTGTGTCAGGCTGAAGGGGGTCCTGGAGCAGATGGACCGGGGGGTGGTGGACCTCCAGGAGCTCCGCAGGAACCTGGAGCTCGCAGCCGCCATGTTGGATTCTGTCTACACCGACGAGACCAAGTAGGACTGATTATTAATGAATTAATGGATGAATTAATACATGAATGGATGGATGTGATTGGATGAATGGATGAATGTTGGATAGATGGATTGATGGATGGATGAGTGGATGAATGAATGGATAAATGGATGGATGAATGGATGGATGAATGGATGAATGACTGACTGCTGTTTTCGTCCTCCAGGCGTCTGTTGGACACGGAGGACGAGCTCAGCGACTTGCAGGCGGAGTCTGTGCCCAGCGAGGTCCGTGATTGGCTGGCCTGCACCTTCACCAGGAAGATGGGCGTGGCCAAGCGTCGCCCCGAGGAGAAGCCGAGGTTCAGGAGCATCGTGCACGCAGTGCAGGCTGGGATATTCGTAGAAAGGTAAGAAAACACAGGGAAAGCTGCAGCAAAGTATACTCTAAAAACGATGGTTAGTAGATTCCACTTCAAAAATAAATAAATTGTTTTTTACCTCAACTTATTTTAGTTAGTTTACAGCTCATTTTATAAGTCGGTCAAAAAATGTAACTTACAAATGTAATGATTTGGTTGGTTCAACTTAATTGAGTTTTTAAAGGTGAAAGCTAAGGATGTTTGTCGTACTGAACTAATTGAGTTAATCAGATGGAACTCGGATTAACTTAATAATCGATTCAATTGGAAATACTTAAAAAGATCAACGCACCTCAATTTATTTAAGTAGAGCCGGTTTATTTGACACAAACTCACACATAAAGATCTCTGAGCCAAACGATAGCCTCCTAGTGCAAAGAAAAAAACACATCCGCTGAAAGATGTGGGAATTTTTGTTGATCGACCAAAACAACAGCTTAAAAAAGTCAACAAAGAAATTCAATAGTTGCAAAAAAAAGGATTATTATTATTATTATGTAGGACCATGCCTAGAAATACATTGATCCCAGAAAAGAGAAGAGATGAAGTATGACAGAGTTCAGCTCACAGCTCATCTGCAGTCCTTAGATTGAATGTCTTATTTTTTCAAAATATGTAAGAGAAATGTACTTCTGCCACTTTATTTGTCACGCGAACTTTCCACTTACAACCCCTTTTTTAGACATTAAGGAAACAAAGACGTATGCATAACGTTTGATATCTGGAGAAGCTTGCAGAGCAGAGCAGGATTTCTACATGAATCATTTGAAAGCTGAACCAAAGTAAACCCAGAGGAGAGTGTCTGAGCCGCCATCTGTGAGAGCAACACATCCAGCCTCCACAAGACTTCACACCTCTGCACACATATATATTATATGTTTGAAAATCTGGCCAAAAGGAATATGTAAATGCCTGTTCTGTGCACTTTGAGCCCGGGTCTGTTCTTTGGGTTTCTTCATTCTGCAGTAAACAAGAACATTTGAGACATTATTTCCTTCCGACTCTGTGTCATTCGCTTGTTTGTGTTATTCATGTTTTAATGTAATAATGCACAAACTCAGCTCTGTGAAGAAATGGAGAATACGTGGAGTTCGGTGTGGAAGAATAGACTCTGCACACACCTGTTTCTAATATGATCAGGTTATTAAATTAGTGGCAATCAGCTTGCACGATGTGGGTCTGCTACTCGTTTATGGTGCTGTCGTTAATTCATTTAGTTGAAGCAGGACAAAAGGCTGAAGACATTTGAACAAGTAAAAAGAGCTAGAAACCTTTAAAGCCCAGACCATGGGTCAGCAACAGGCGGCCCACGGGCCATTGGTGGCCCGCCAGCAAGAATATCTGGCCAGGAAAATTATTTTGAGAATAAAAATAAAATATTATTTTGAGATTATTATTATTTGTTTATCGGACCGACAGTCGCACATATAGGCTATAATGTCCGAATAGAGAATCTACCTCCACCTGAAGAATGCTTATTGTACTTTTATCCATTTTGAGAGTGAATGACACACAGCACAGGCACAATCTGGCAGTGGGGTGCACTGATGCTGATAGTGGATCAATAAGTAGCTGGAAAGCGCGTGGTGCTGAAATAGCCAACATGCGGTGTGTGGTTTAAAAAAAATAACACCAGCTCACTAAATCATTCAAACGTAATGTTTACTTAAGATATCAAAACATTGACAACAAAATCAGAGAAGCCGCTTGATCATGGAGGGCGAGGGGTGGAGGTAAATATGCTGCCACCCCATTTGGCAGCTTTGTTTTGAAAGAAAAGTTTTTGCTCATCGGACATTTATGAGAGAAAATCCCTAATGTCCGAGTGCAAGGGAATGCAGCACAAGACGCGAGCCTTGTAACCCCTCCCCCGGCCCTGGCGCGAGCATGGACAAGTGATTGACGGCGATTTCATTTGAACGGGACGGCGCAGAACGAGAAGCAATTTAAAAGATAAGTCTGTTAAAATACAGATAATAGCCCTGACTTTTAACATGGAACTGAAATGGGGCTAGAGAGGACGAGCCTCCCTTTGGGCAGGTCTAGCCAGAGGCTCTGGCCTTTGATTATGTTCTGGCCCGCCATCTAGTGGCTCAGAAAGACATTGTCCCAAGGCCAAACTTACTTGCTGACCCCTGTACTATAGCATACAAATAAAGTTTGTAATGTAGGCCTGTTACTGATATTATTGAGATATATATTATACACACTGTTCTGCTTTCTGCACTGGCCTCAGCAGCTGTTCTCACTGTAAATGTCGGCTCAGAATTAAAGCAGTAGTATGGAAAACATACATAGCCTGATATCCAGAGGAGATGCCTTTATTGAGTAAACAAACGGTCAAGGGCAGAACGTCTGCACAACCCACTGCACCGCACGCCACGGTTAAGGCTCCTCCAGACACCCTCCGCGATAATCGATCGTCGACGAGCCTTTACAGAAATATGTTTTCCTTCGAGGCGGCCCGCCCACATACGTTTCCAGGTCGCTGCCGGAAAACCTGGGAGTCCGGGACGCAAACGTTTGAGAAATTACGAAACGGCTCATTTCGGAGGACTCGCGCGCATCTGCTTGACGCCGGGACGACCGGCGTC